AAATTTGACATGCACACAGAAAATTGTGTACAACTTAAGTGAAATATTTTGTAAATTTAATGTCTAAGTAGCTACTAACTAGGTCAATAAATGGAATATTTGCAGGACATCAGTTGGCTCCTGTTTATTCCTTTTAATGAAATTATTCCAACCTCTCCCAAATTAGGGATTTTTTTCTTATATTAAACTTAGTGCCTTCTAGCTTTTTTATAGGTAGTATACTGACCAACGTAGTTTAGCTTTGCCAGTTTTGAAACTCTGTATGAATGTAATCATATGACAAGAATTATATGTGTGGCCACAATTTGCACAATATATATTTCTGATTTTACCTGTATTTTTGCAGATATATGAAGCTAATTTTCATTTTTGTATGTTATGTATGTGTAAAATAATGAGAAACATATATTGGTCTCTGTACTGGTACCTGACTCAGAGCTCCTAAAATCTTTGTAAATAGGGTTTCTAAGGGAATGTTTTGTTCTAATGGTTGGTCCTTGACCCTGGTTCTGACACCAGAGCTCCTAAGGCCTTTGGAATTTTCTGAGTGATAAGAGCATCTAACACAGAATTGCTAAATTCCTTATAATTTCCTGAGTGCCAGGAGTGTCTTTTGATCTCACAAGGTGAATGGGGTCTGAAGTTGGGGAAGTCTTGTGGGACTGAGTCTTTAACCTGTGTTATGGATGGTGTCTCCAGGTAGATGGAATCAGAGTTGAGTTAAATTGTTGGACTCCCAGTTGGTGTCTGTCTAGAAGTGGAGAATTCCTTGTGGGAAAAACCCCTTGATGACCAAAAGTGTGAGAATAGAGAAGGAGTAATCAGTTTGTTTTTCCTGTACATTTGGTGTCAGTAAAGTGGACTTGCTAAAATGACCCTGTGTCATGGAAATGTTGTTTGGGAACAGAAAGGATGAAAGGGTGGAGCGTGCAGACTCTTTGATCCCTGGGTGACTACCTAGTCACCTGCGGTATGAAACTACAGCTGTGCTGGAATCAGTTGGTAAAGATATAAGTTACCAATGAATTTAGAGATGGGAGTGTCTTGGTCCATTTTCTGTTGCTATAAAATAAACTACAGAGAGGGTAATGCATAAAGAAGAAAAGTTTATTTCTTATATTTTTGGAGGCTGGGAAGTCCCAAAGCAAGAAACCAGCATCATTTGGGGGCCTTTTTGGTGCATCATAACATGAGGGAGGGCATCACATGGTGAGATGGGAAGAACATGCCTGCATGTCAGCTCAGATCTCTCTTCCTCTTCTTAGAAAGCTACTAACCCCATCTTGGGGCTGCCACCCTGATGACCTTATCTAATCCTAATTACCTCCCAGAGTTGCCACCTCCAGTCAAAATACAAATTTGAGAAATTAGTGTGCCACTCATAAAATCTGAGGTTACATTCAAACCATAGCAGAGGTAGACATGACTCCTAAGTAGTTGCCTCATTATATATGTAAAGAAATGCAAATTAATAAGCATGCTACATTTACAGTCCCTTAGTTGTTGTGATCTGTAATAGATAAAATGAAAGTTCTGGGTCTTATGTTCATGCAGGACTGAGTTCAGATTTGGAATGGTCTAAGCTTTGGCCACCAGCTGCTGTCAGAAAAAGGAAAATCTGGGCCAGGTGTGGCGGCTCATGCCTGTAATCCCAGCACTCTGGGAGGCCAAGGCAGACAGATCGTTTGAGCTCAGGAGTTTGAGACCAGCCTGAGCAAGAGCGAGACTCCATCTCTACTAAAAATAGAAAAATTAGCCAGACATGGTGGTGTGTGCCTGGAGTCCCAGCTACTTGGGAGGCTGAGGCAAGAGGGTTGCTTGAGCCCAGGAGTTCAAGATTACATGGATCTATGATTGGGACACTACATTCCAGCCTGGGCATCAGACCCTCTGAATGACTCTATGAGCAGAGTTCTCTTGAACCAACTACATTGTAAAGGGAGAGGTATCAAATCTGTGTTTGATTATAACTTACAAATGTATCACTAAGATTGAGCCTGAGCAGGTACAGAGGACACAGGTAAGCTGCATGAACAGGTATGCAGACCCCATGTCATATATAACCGTAGTAACCGGTCACTCCAGCGCTACTGTGTGTCCTGCACAGATGGCCAGAAGAGGAGAAACCATGAGGTTGGGTTCCACATGGATCATTTTGCTCTATGGGTTTCAGTAAAAGGAATGGTGTCCGTACCGCAGGCATATCTTGGGTATACCCAAAAGACATTGGATAAGCTAGTTTTTTCCATTGGCTGGAGCTATGAGCTTGTCATCTATTATGTGTGGAAGAATAGGTATCCCGGGGGTGTATTAGTCCACTTCCGCTGCCATAACAAGTTACCACAGGCTCTGTGGCTTAAAAAGCAGAGTTTTTATTTGTTACAGTACTGGAGACCAGATGTTCAAGATGGAGATGGGGCGTGGTTGGTTTCTGGTGAGGGCTTTCTTCCTGGCTTGCAGACAGTTGCTTTCTCTCCACATCCTCACATGGCCTTTCCTCTCCTTGGTACGTGCACAGGGAGCTAGAGCACTTGCTCCTCCTTATTCACATGGACACCAATTTTACGGGATCAAGGCCTCACTCTTACTGCTTAATTTTAATGGAATTATTTCCTTTAGCGCCCTATCTGCAACCACTAAGGTTTAGGGCTTCAGGGTATGAATTTTCAGGGCACCCAAACATTCAGGATATAACAGAAGGTGACAATATATACAGTTCCCAGAGCAGTAGTCAATGGTCATCCTAGAAAGGAAGGAGAAGTTGAGAAAATAATTGATAGGGAGGTCTCGTGACACGTGGATGTACTTAAGGTAATGTAAATACGGTGGGAAGATTTTTGTACGGTGTATTAAAATTCACCGGAAAAATATCAGCAGTCACCCTGGACCTGACACAATGGATACAGGAATGAACCCGGGTAAGTTCCTGCCGTCAGGACATTGCACTGGCTGTTTCTTCTCCATGGGCCATCTTCCCCACAGATTCTTTCTTCAAATGCGTGTGCAGGTATGATGTCTCCTCTGAGAACGATGGTGACCCTGTATTTCCTCCTTAAATTTTCTCTTCTGCACATCTTTGTCATTACTAGGTGCTACACTTCTATGTTTCCACAGAACTTATCCCTTTGTGACTTAGTATGTAATATGTTATATTATCTTTATTAATTATTGGCTACTCCTCTCATTTTGAATTATCCAAACCTCAAATGTTAAAAGCCTTTCTCTTACATTTAACATTGCGTTTCTTGCACTTTTTTTAGGAAAAGGATCTTGCTCTGTCACCCAGGCTGGGGTGCAGTAGCACTATCATAACTCACTGCAGTCTTGACCTCTTAGGCTTAAGCGATCCTTCCCTTCCACCTCAGCTTCTCAAGTAGCTAGGACTAAAGGCACATGCCAACACATCCAGCTAATTTATTTTTGGTAGAGATGGGATCTTTCTATGTTGCCCAGGCTGGTATCAAACTCCTGGCCCCAAGAGATCCTCCTGCCTTGGCCACCCAAAGTGCTGGGATTACAGGTGTGATCGACTGCACCTGGCCTTGCTTTTCTTGATAGCTGGGAAATAACTGACCATTGTGGTTTGGCTTTTCCTGTTTTCAAACTTTAAGTGAATGAAATCATATGAGAAGACGTATCTATTGTTACATGTGCACCTTATCTATTAATATTTGTGATTTTCCCCATATTTTTGCACATATATCAAGCTCTTTTTGATATTATCCATATAAAAGATTACATGAAGCCACTACTGTTAGCACAGGACAGAAAAGACCACAAGGAAATAACACAACCACTCAAGTAGGACCACACAGCATGTGAGGTCTCATCCTCCTGTCCTTTTGCCAGGGCACTTTCCAAACCTGCACAGGCAAGGGAAGCTCAGCAGAGGGTGGAGACAACTGAGATCAGAGCCCAGTGTTAAGGAGGCGACAGGAAATCCTGAGGCTATTTTTTCTGGGGTTTGGGAGGGGCTCCCAGGCTAGAGTCAATCTAAGACCTCAGGCTGGCTCCCCTGGACTCTATCCCAGAGGAAGAGACCCTCACTGTGACATCAGAGGTCAGATGTAGCCTGCCACTGAATCCAATTTCCTCTACCAGACGCACCTGTATCACCGC